ATTTTAACCTTGTAACAGTGCAATTGATATGGGAGCTAAGGCTACTGGTACTGCAATTAGCACTGAGTTAGATTATGTCAGTAGTAACTGACAGTAGGGAGTTGCACTACTTTTTGCTGTCTATTTGTGGGAGGGAAGGGGACTGAATCCATACAATTCTGGTCAAAAATAAGGATCTTTACCCTTTCCAGATAACCCTATAAAAATGACTAGTTGGTCAGGGACTAAGAATAAAAAACTGCTAAGACGTGAAGAAAAAGGTGCAGGAAAAAAAAAGAGAAGCAATACAGGCAGTCTACTTCATAATAACATGCTATAAAGCAGGGAACAGAATTGTGTGCCCTATAAATACATGGACATTGGTTAACACAGTACAAAAAAGCAGGCATTGCTGAAGGGCAGGGCAATGCCTGGGCTGACTGCAGGTACACAGCACACTGGAGAGCAGAGACATCACTGCGGTCAGGGCAAAGCCATTTCATGACATAAAGTAATACAGGTATTTTAACATCCATGCAGAGTAAAACTGTCCATAAAAACCCAGCTGCATCCAAGTCTGCTGAATTAGATCTACCCCCCAAAGCTGAGCCAACCCTTCTGTGAGTTTATCTTGCTGTTTCCAAGTTCACTGCTGTGGAAAAGGTGCATGGCTGCCCTGAACTCAAGGGCATGCTTTCTGCCTCTTTTCTGTGGTGAGCAAACCTCTTGATGCCAGCAGCTCTGAAGTACCCCTTTGTGGAAATCTGGAACCCAGTCTGTCATCTGGGTCCATTTCTCCCACAGCACAGAATTTCAGTGATTTCTTTCTTTCTTTCCCACTTTATAGCAGTTTTTGGTAGCTTTTGTTTGGGACCTTAAAGATCACCTAGTTCCAACCTCCCTGCTGTGGTCAGGGACACCTTCCACTAGACCAGGTTGCTCAAAGCCCCATCCAACCTGGCCTTGAACACTGCCTGGGATGGAGCAGCCACAGCTTCTCTGGGCAGCCTGTGCCAGTGCCTCACCACCCTCATAGTAAAGAATTTTTTCCTGACAGTTAACCTAAATCTGCCTTCTGCTTAAAGCCATTCCCCCTTGTCCTGTCACTACACATCCTTGTAAAAAGTCCCTCTCCAGATTTCCTGGAGGCCCCCTGTAGGTATTGGAAGGCTTAACACACATGAGAAGCAAGACACGAACAAAGTCAAACTCTTCTCAACTAAAGGAGCTTTGATCAGCTGGAAAGAAAAGAACTAATAGTTTTTTAACTGTAACATTTCTCTTTTTATATGTCAATACACTGATGGTGTAATTTGCAGCTGCTGGGTAGATGGCATACAGTATGTACCATGGCATTGCCCTGATCTTAAAGGACTCTAATTGAGCCTGGTGTGACCTGCAGAATATCCTAGAATCCTAGAACTATAGAATGGTTAGAGTTGGAAGGGACCTTAAAGATCAGATAGCAGCATTCCAGTTTAAAACTGAGACCCAGTTGCCTTGCTGTTTTTACTGCATTAATTAGCAATAATTTGGAGGGGTTAACGCAGGAACTTTTAGTCCTTCCCAGCCCTGTTGTTTAGAATAATATTTGCATATTATTTTGCTGTTTCTCTGGATGTGTGCTGCAGTACTGGGGTGCTCAGCTTTGGGAAGGTGTCAGATGCCAGCAGCTTTGGGAGAGGAGGGTGGCAAGTGCCAGCGGCAGTGCTTGGAGCTGTGTAACACTGAGGATATGGATGTGTGAGAGCAGTGTGTCTTCCCCTCCTGGCTGTGTAGCCTCCGGTATGTGACATGGTGCTACTGCTAGTCTGCCACAGCACCCTCTTTTAGCAAGAATGGAGGAGCCACTACCCCTTTCTGCTCCCCTGCGGTTCTGTGGGTTTTTGCCACACTCTACCACGTGTGGATTTCCCAACCTGCTGAAACAAAGCCTTCAATCAAATGCCCCTCACTCATACTGCATGTGGATGAAATCCAAACGCTGGATAGATCTGGGGGGGCAGGCAGTGTGCCTTGCCTTGCTGAGCGCCAGCTGAGGCGAGCTGTGCTCACACGTTTCATCTGCCAGCATGGTGGGAGGTTCCTACCCTATAAACAGAAACATGGGAGAGACTCCTTGCCCTGCCAGCTGCCCCTGAAATCAAATTCTGCATCCTCCAGTGGTGTGGAAGGAAGTACAAACCAGCAACCTTGGCTCCTATTGACACAAGAACCCTCTAAATATCTGAGCTTTATCAGCAAAGGCCCTGTCTATGAAGCCATTTATCTCTGGCAGCTTCTTTTTGTGCTGCTGGAGCTGTGGTTGCACTCTGCCCTGGACAAACCAGTGCAGCCTGGCTGGGTGGAAACTGGCAGATGTGGCAGGATCTGTGCAGGGGAGATGTAGGAGCTCAGCTGGTCTGAGTAGTGGTGGGTAAGAACTGAGGGAGAAAGAGAATTGGCATTAGAAGCGATATCATAGTTTTTCACATGGTGAAAACTGAGTGTCTCAATAAACCTGGGAGAGTGGTCATACACGTCTGGAGGTGAAGTCCAAAGCAAACTAGAAAAAGAACCCAAACAAATGCAGTGTAAACCAAAAACATTAAGCTTCATTTATCTAACAATGAGAATCAGCATTTTGAGGGATGTGAACTGTGACTTATGATACTTGAAGCTGATGATTGTTCTTTTGAACACAAGACTCTCCATTCGGCCACAGTCAACAATCCGGTGTGCCTTCACCCCCTGGTACACCCAAAGACCCCTGGCACAAAGGACTCCTAAGCCACCAGCATGGTAGCCCCTCCATGGAGAGCAGCTTACCACTACAGTGACTGCAAGGTCAGACTTCAAACCCAACCATTTTCTCTTGCACTTCTCAGGGGCAGCTGAGGACGCTCAGAGGGACCTTAACAAACTGGAGAGCACACATCCCCATCCCAGGCAGACACATGGCATTAGCAAGCTTTGGATGGAGATGGCTGAGACATCCTAATATGGCCGCGGGGATCTGGGCGCCTCTGTAACCCAAGTCTCCTACTTTTCTTTCCAGCTGGCTGAAACTCCCCTGGTACCTGGCACACAGTGCTATCACCATCGTGGTTCCTTCCTGCTAGGCACTTAATGCAGCACTCATCTCTCTCCTTTAGGGGCGTACCTGAGCTATGCACTCAGTGTCCTCCTAACAACCTCGTCCCTTTGCCATCCTCTCAAGACCTTTGCAGAGGGAACATCCCTCCTGGAGACGATCACGACGGAGGGAACTCGTTTTGCAGCTGACTGGGACACACTATCTGCTGTCTCCCAGACGTGGTGTGCGTGTGGGAGGGTTTTCTATTACATGGCACCAAGTCCTGATCTGTGGCTGGCACCTTCTCAAGCGCAGGGAGAGCTGCCCTTTCCAACGCAGGGCAGGGAGAAGGGCAGAGGGACAGCCCTGGCTCCCGTTCATTTTCGGGTGACCTGGGTGCACTAGTGCAGGTGAGTGGCTCCAGGCAGGCAGGAGCAGAATCCAGCAGCGCCTGGAACAGACTCGAATATGGGCTTGAACTTTGACGCTGCTCCTTCCAGCAGCCTTGAAAGCGAGGGAGAGCAGTGGTGTGACTTGCCTGGGCGGCTCTTGCTGATTCGGCATAAACATGTTTTTAAGCTCCCGGTGCAGCTGGCAGGGAACATGATGTCCCCGTGGTTCCCTGCGTCTGGCTCCAGAGGCTGCCAGAACAATGCTAAGATACACCGCTGCTTCCTGCAGCCGCCTGCTCCGGCTGGAGGAGGCCGTGCTGGATACTCGGCCAGTGTTTGTCGTTACAGAAAAAATAAAGATTAAAAAAAAAGGGCTGAGAAGCTGCAATGGGAACAAAAGAGCCAGCAGCGAGCAGCTGAGCAGCCACCACGTGTTTTCTGAAGGGTATTTTTAAGGTTTATAATAATTCACTCCTTATTTACAATGTTGTTTTGTGTCCTTTTATGTAGCACTAGCTGCCTGTCTGCCCTCTGCTTAAACCAAGCTATTCACATCCAGGTGTCTGGAGCTTCACTGACTATGGGAGGCAAGCTTCACTTTCTTAGGCTCCCAGCCCCAAACAGCTGGAATAATCTTCCAGCCGTATTGAAGCAGACCCTCTCATTGTTCAGGGTTTGGACACTCTTAATCCTGTTTTTAAAACAGCCTCAGCTGTGTGAAATGAGCACAAGCTGTGGCTGGTCACTGTTGTGTGCTGTTAGAAGAGTCCTGCCCTTCTGTCTCCAGTTGTGGGCAAAGCCCCTTTATCCCAGACAAGCTCTCGGTGGCCATGGACACAAGGACACACCGCTAGCTTTGCTGAGCAGGGACACACATCTCAGAGACAACGGCATCTCTGCACCACCATTCCACAGCTTGAATGGGCTTTTGGTCTCACCTGGCTTGTAGAGAAAGTCTGAGAGCTGATCTTCCTTTGGTCTGGGGTGTTTGGAGCTCAAGGTTTTCCAGTATAAGGTTTGCACTGCATTGGATGGGGCTGAAGCAAGGGCTGTCAGCCAGTTCAGTACCTTTAAATTGGCCATATGTTCATATACACATTTTTGTTCAATGTGTCTTGAATATCTAAATGTATGTCACATACCTCTTCTTCCTCAGCTGTGTCACTTGATCATAAATACCTCCAGCACAACGCATGCTATACTGCAGACCTCATGGTGAGTAGTACAGTGAGGCCACCTCTTGTCTGGTCTTGCACTCTGAAAGAGTTAAAAAGTAATTTGCTTGTTGTCTTCCAGACATCTTCAGGTGTGTATGTGTCTCCTGTACTGATCAGCAGCTCAAACCATGTTGGCTTTGTCCACAGTTCACTGGTGTCAATGGGAAGCTTGTCACAGATTTCAGTGGATATGGTATGCGGTCTAAAGATGAATTATAACTACTCCAATATTTATCATTTACACTGGGTAATATGTTGATCCCACGTTATATTGCACCTTTTATTGCCTGAAAAAGAAAATATAGTGTTAGCATATGTTAAAAGCATGTTACAGAACAGTGTAGTTCTGTAACATCAGCAGTTCTCAGACGTGCTTCTAGAAGACCTATTGATCCATTACATATATTCTGTATTCCATACCCATATTCTATAAAATTGAGAACAAGAACTGCTTCTGATTCTATGATTACAAAAAAAAAAAAAAAAGTGAAAGCTTAACATAATGTACACCGATATACTGCTGTTCTGACAGAAATGTTTATGTTTAAAAAAACACCAAACCTTCCGGTGTTATACCTTAAAGAAATGGTGAAGAGCATTTATTTTAGCCTTTAATTTTCAACAGCTTTGCTGGAATCTTCTTTCTGTTCTTATGAAATGAAACAGTCCCCTCTGAAAGAGTGTGCTGTTTGAGGACACCTTCTCCCTCAAAACGTTCATTTCCTATAGCAGTGGGTGTGCTCATTCCTGAGAAGAAATGGGGTGATGTGCAGTTCTTTGCTGTTTGGTTTGATTGCAGTAGTGCAGATTTAAAGTCAAGACACCTCGTCTCCTGTAACATCAATACTTACAGGTGGAGAATATCATTCTGCTGCAGAGCAAAGGAAAAGGATGAAAACATCTTTTTCAGTCATCCATGAATATTAATCTCTGCAATATAATTCTCAGGGTCTGCCTGCATTAATTTATGGCACTCCAGTGAATAGTTTTGCCATTTTTTTCCAGCTGTTCTGACATGGATGTGGCTGTTCAAAGGGCAGAAGCCTGGGAATATGCAGAAGGTGCTGTGATTTTTATTTTTACTTTTTCCTTCAAGTGAACTGATCATCCTGTGGCCTTGAAAAATCTTTAAAAGGCTTTTGGAAATGTGACATGCCTCCAAAGTACTGTTCCTATCCTTCAGCTACAGAAGGTATGCTCAGAGTGGGCACAGCCTGGCACCAGTAGCAGGAATAGAGAGAACAGAGGAACAGGAGGGCAAAGCGCATGGAGGCAAAGCAGATGAAGAGATTTGGATCAGCAGAAGGCTTCTGGGCAGCCCCATAAGTAACATGGATAATAAAAAATGTAAGAGTGTCCTTGGTCTGAGTTTGAATGAAGCTTTCTTCATTGTGTATTTATGTAAAACCTGAGGCAAAGCTGATTACAAGCAAGGGAAAGTTGTCCAGTGGGTTCAAAGGGTTTTATAACAGGGCCTAACTAAGCGCAAACAAGTGCTTCTGTGTCAACACAAATGAAGTTTTATGCCTGAGCAAACAGGCTTCCTAGTGTCTGTGAAGCAATGAAACATACCTGTAAATGCCTAGAGCGGTATAAACCATTGTATCCACCCCTGCAGGAAGGTTGAATTTTCCAGTCATACCCTTTGTAAGCAGGGGAGTGACTGAGTCACCAATACCCTTTGCAATGCACGTTACCGATCGTACTGCGCACCACAGTGATTGGAGGAAAGGCAAGTATCCCTGCCAGGTATTCCACCCTGTTTCCCAGTTAATTTGTTAAAAATCAACCAGGAACATTGTGGACGGTAAAACTGCTAGGAAGAGAAAACCACTCATAAGAATAAACACTCAGTAAAGGGTTCTCAATGCCTCTGATTTCTCACTATGCCTCATGGTGTTTAACAGTTAGCATGAGTTAGAGATAGCTCCTAATTTTATGTAAAAAGTCCACCCAGTAGCTGGTATTTTGGTGTCCCAGGTGGAGTAAGTGTGGCTCAGGGCTCCAAAAGGTGAGCCTCATGCTGTCTCCTGCAGTCCCATAGCACCATAGTCAGCCCCAAACTCAGGCAGACCTGCAACACTTGGAAGTGCAGCCACTGGTGACCAGCTTCTCAGAGGCAGCTCCAGGCTGACAAAGCTTCTGCCAGCAGCCAGAAGGGTTCATCTGCAGTGATCCCACTGGCATTTTCTGCAGTTCCATTAGCTATGACACAGCAGTGATGTTGTTTTGGGCTCTGTATTCCCAGCCTCGCACAAGCACCCAGAACTAGTAAGGGGACTTGAGACATTTACCTAAACATAAATGTTCAGTGATACTTGAGAAAGCCACACATGTCCTTCCAAGGTATTTGCATGGGACTGCAGACCTGACAAAGGACCTGTGGAAGATCCCTGGTCTTCTGGAGTGACAGATGAGAGAAAGACAGAGTACATCCAGGGCTCCTCATATAGCATCGGGTGTCTATTTTTAGGTAGCTGAATTAGCTCGGAGCCAGTTTACCGCTAAAGCTACCTAAATGCAGGTGCCTCCATGCACCACAAGTTTCTGGGGTCCCATTATGGTCAGTTGATCTCTGCCACTGAAGACAGGAGGGCTATACAGCTGGCCAGAAGTAGGTGTCTGCTTCAGGAGGGGCTGACAGCTTTCTGGGGTCCTCTAGATATCTAGGTATCTGACTGGTCATGAGAAAGAGTGTTTAGATACCCAACTTGCACCTCAGCACATACATACAAACACATACATAGTGTCATGATAAGGTGTTGCATTTGGTGTGCAGAACCTCATGCCAAGGCTCTTGGTTTTCAGGTGCAGACCCCTAATGCAATATAGTACATAAAGTCCAAGCTATAAACAACAATGAAAAGAATTGTCTTTTTTTTACTTCATTTTCTTATTTGAGCCTTTCAGGCAGGGCATGTCTCAATGTATCATATTAATGTATGGCCATCCTAAACTAGAAATTCTCTGCCACCTTCCAGGAGGATGCTCTGCAACCCCAAATGGTGGGAATGGTGGTCACTCCTCTTGATGCATTTCCCTCATCTTTAGTCTGCCCAGTTTTTCAACTGACATGACTCCCTGAAGGCAGCATAAGGCTCATCCTTTGAGGTCTCTCATGCAGCAGGAAATAAGGTAGTCCTTTCTTTTCTTGCCTCTTCTTGCTAGGCACTGCAAATCAAGGGAGTGACACAGGAAAATCTCCACAAATTCTATATGGGCAAATTTGTTGCACTCTGTTTCGGTTCTCTTTCATAGCTGCAGAAAGAATATTGAGGAGACCTGATGAGGAGCAGCTCCTGATACCCCATACATATTTTTCTACTCATTTGAAAAATATTACTCATTAAGAGGCCTCAAAATATTCTAAACACCCAGGACTGTGGTGACACAGCTCTTGCTGTGCCATCCAACATTCAAGATTGCAGGGAAGAACTGAGACTGCCCATGGAGATTTTCTGCCCTTTCCTCCCTGTGAGGTGACTGGAGAGAAGCAGCACTGAGGCTGCCTGGTGGGATGTCCTGCTTTCTCTTTGTTGACTCCTTTGCAAGGAGGAGCAGCATCATGTGAAGTACCAACTCAGTCATTCTGTCTTGAATGCGCATCCCAGCACAGATGTGCAACACAAACCATAGGGCCTGTAATACAGTATTGGTATATAGGCATCTTAAATTATGTTGTCAGCTTTTGAGGAATGCAAAGATGTTGCATTAACTGAAGATGTTAACCCAGAAGTGTGCCCCTTCCCCTTCACCATTCCCACCCCCCAGATTAGCTGAGCTGAGGCATCTGAAACTCCAAGTTTTACCTTCCATTTGCCAACACTGCCCAACAATTTAAGGGCAGACAATTCTTGGCTGTTATAACCTGATTCTCTAAGTCATCATCACTACTGTAAAGGAAAAAAGAAAACCCAAACAAAATTAACAAAACCCCAACAAAACCCTATTTTCCCAGTCCATTAGTGTTTCTTACCCAAGGCAGCAAATGTTGTTTTGTAATAATGCTCTGGGAAGGACATTATTGCATACTAAGGGCAAAGTCTGGTGTATTCAAAGGCTTGCTTAAGTGACAGGAAAAAGACCATAATGAACAACTGCGTATCAAGGCTCCAGGGAGATTAATCTGGATGTGTGCCCAAGGCACAGTAGCAAAATCAGTGTACGTGTTTAAGCTAATGATCTGGAAGAGAAAACATAAGGTGCTTTGGCATGGTTTCTGTTGACATCAGGAACCTGGCTTTGTAAGGTCCTGATCGAGGGGGAAAGGAGAGGAAAAGCAACATCTGCTTATCTCCTGTGAAACCAGAATGCCTTTCAGCCATTGAGTAAACTTGCTGATTTCAGTGAACCTCTGACGTGCTAGAAGCAAGCCAGCCCTGTACCTCCAGTGCTTTGCTGAATCAGGAGTTGAGTGCATGATCTCTGTCACTCACTGGGGGAAAAAGACCATTTCAACCTCTGGCACCCTCTGGACTGCAGCAGCTTGGCTGGAACTGATGGCCTGTGAGCACTGTGCTGTGGAGACACCACATATTGCCTGCTAGGCAAAGCGCTTGACATACACAACTCAGCAAGGTGGGTACACCCCTGCTGCACCCACAGCATGCCTGGGTCACACATACAGCATGTGTGACTACCAAGCCTGCCATGGGTAAGGTGAAGAATGCATATATATGTATTTCTGCATGTAAAACCCTAAGGGAAAATGTGCTAGCTCTGTCTCTAGGGTCTGCAGGACAGTAAAGGTGGATGGGGAAAACACAGCAGGTGATTGTTTTCCACAGTAGCTTGCTAACATCCCTCATATACTTTAGTTCTGGGTTTACCTCAAGACACCTGACACACATCAATATGTCAGAGTGGCACATTTCTGTAATTGCAAAATGCTTAAAGTTTACCCTATCTGGTCCACTCCCCTGTTCATACAGGTGAAAAACCATTAAGGGACTCAGTACATGAGGCTGTCACTTGTAGATTATTGCCAGACACTCAAGAGTCTGGCTGTTTTTTACCTCTCCTCTCTCAGGTGAAGTATCTACACCCAGTTTTACAGTTATTCTGTCATCTTAAAATTAAGGTTGATAGAGGACATTCGCAGGCAAACATACTTCTGATAAACCACCAGCTGAACAGGACTGTTTTATCATGGCACAGTCCACTGCATCTGCTAACTGCCATTCTCTGACAGATCAGCTGATAAAAGCCAGTTGTACCACTGCTTCAAGAGCTGGATGAGAGGCTTTCATCTAGTCTGTGGAAAGATTTAAATAGAGACTTGCTGATGACTGCCCTTCGTTATATAAAACGAAAATAACAGTGATGTTTTTTCGTATTCTTTACAGTTGAACAACAACAAAAGGTATTTTAGAGGGTACAGTCCGCACTAAGGATTCTCATCTCTGATGATCCATGTTATCCTTATTAGAAACAGTAAGGTCATGTGTGAGGTGGGGCACTGATTATAATCACTATATAAACTCAACAGATGCAACACTAAGCACGAGCAGACCTTTGTTTCAGAGTTTCTCCTGCTACACCTATTGACACGGTATAAATGTTGATTTGCTTAACTCTTGTTAAGGCTTAAAATAAAAAGGCCCTTGCTTGCACAACATTTCTGAGAAGAAAAAGACAAAAACCATTTAGAAGATTTTATTATAAAATTATTTCAACATCTACATCCAAGTAAAAGGCTTAAGGCTACAGCTGTACTTTCAGGAATAAAAATTCAGTAAATGCTGAAAAAGGTTCTGTAGTATTTGGGTAGGTAGCCCTTAAGAAATTTTTAATACCAGAGATTCCATGTGAGTTTCTTAAGTGCTATACACACCTCTGTCTGCACTGTGAATTGTGTTCTGCAACTTCACTGCAAGCAACATTACAGATGTGTTTACAGCACCCATGTGCCTTACCTGCTTTGAAGCAGATGTTCCAGCACCAACCTGGAGTAGCTGCAGCTATGCTACAGACAGACAGTATACCATGAGATCTCAACTCATGTTTTAAGCATTACAGGGTGCAGAGAGAGGTGTAATTTGAGTTTACTTGACAACCATGACTACCTAGGTATCTTTTTGTGACCTTGATTCCAACTCAAATACTCAGGTATACTATGGCAGTTAAGGCAGCTTTTTCACACCCGTATATTCTAGACAAAGGTATTTCATTTTTATCATCCATTTCATATACTGAGCCGAGCTCAGAAATGATCTGGTGATTTCTGGTGACTGCAGCTTATTCCCTGGGATAAAAACGGCCTTGATGCAGTACTGAGTGTAATGACTTCAGTAGTTATCAACAATACTTCTAAAGGTAATCTTTAACATTCCTTTTAAAAATATTTGGTATTCACAGTAGATAAGAGTATGGAGTGGTTTTCGGTCCAACAAATACAAATCTGTTTTAGAAAAACTGTCACCTGACTGAACAGGATGCTTTAAGTACTGTACTTACAGCTTCTTGAAAAGTATCATATTCACTTAAGGTAAGATGCTAATTAGTAAAAAAAAATTCAAGTAATATTATACAGCCCTGATAAACTTTGACTGGCCAGTTTGACAATGTCCAATAGTTTCACTTCTATTGTTACAAGGGAGAAAATGCACAAAGAAAATGGGAAATGAAGCAGCTTATTGAGAATGGAATATTTCCCCAATAGCTCTCTCCCACTGGCACTGTTCCTATGACAATTCCCCATTGTTTTGCTGTTCATGAGAAGTATTTTGTTGTTTTCAGTGCTGTTCACCTTTCAAAACTTCTCTTTCCTAAGCTCTTTCTACTGCAATGAACAGTTCTTAGAATAGAATTCTAATGCAACAGTACCTGTCCTGAAAACCTTTCAAACAGACCTTCACCAATCGTTGCAGCTTTCAGGGTGTAGAAACCCCATGTACTTCTTTGAGCTAGTGTCAATTTTGTATTGGACCACAAATACAACAAGCAGATTTTAGTTTAGTGTCCTGAGCCACTGAACTTCTAACAGCAAGACAAAAAGGAACCACAAGACCGTGTTTTAAACACACCATTTCCCACATCGTTCTTCCATAACACAGATCACCAAAACCTTTCCATTCAACTTGCATCTCTGACTTCAGTTCTTAGAAAAACCTGACTTACGTGGCACATGCTTTCTGGAGTGCAGATGTAGCCTAAACTTACAGCTGCTATAACCAAGTAGCTTTCCATTCCTTTCCAGTACTTTTCAAAATCATCCTCATTTCCTTCTTCGTTATCTTATGCACAGGAGACTTACATGGCTAGTTTTCCCTGAACACCTTAACTTAAATCTCCTGTGATGTAACTCTCAGAGCTAGATATCACATGAGAACTATTATGTTTGTTTGGGTTTTTTTTTTAAAAAAAACAGGACTTCATTATACATGGAAAACACTTCCTCCCTCCCCCCTTCCAGTCAGGCTGTATTTGAATGCTGTTTGTACGTTGCTACAAGACTGCCACGTTAAGTGGATCTTTGCCTTTCCAAACGTTATAAATACATCTTTAAAGCATAGGTGTTGGCTACCTGAGAAGTTCTATAAGATGAACTGCTGGTAACTATTCTAGGAGGAAAATATACACCAGCATAACCGACATTTATCAGTATTCAAGCATTAAAAAGGACTTGAAAAATTGCACACCTCTACCACATCAAGTTTTTGATCATAGTTAAAAATATAGTCTGTTTTTCCTCTATACACAGATCTTCAAAGACACATGCTCCTGTTTTCCTCAGCCTGAAGGCTGCAGAAAGATTTCGCATTCAAAGCATACAGCCTAGGCTGTAAGAGCCTTATCTTCTTTATCTTCTGCCAGTCCTAAAACTGAAGAATTTACTTGTTTGGAAGTAGATGAGTACTTCCAAACATTAGTCTTTTTTAAGAAGCCAGCTTGATCCCTTCAGGTGCCTGGATACCAACTTCTCTTCAAATAGCTGCACTCTGTTTTGATAAATTCTTTGGGTCTTTACTTGGGACACACCAGTCATCCGCCTCTGACGTAGCCTGGTAACGCTTCGAAGATGATTTGTTAAAAACTGGCAGTTTTTCTACTGAGTCTGTTGATAGGGCCTAAAAATCAAGAAGGAAAAAAAGTTACTTTGTGCCTACCTCTCAATAGTGCCACTTGGTAGAAATTCATGCAGTTATGTTTCATTAAGCCACTGACACTACAAAACTTATTTACACAAATGTTTCTACAATAGATGCAGTAGTTTGTGTTTCAGCATATATGTCTGCTTTGGATAAGGACAAATGCAGTAACATCAAATCATATTTATAAGCCTTTAGAGTTTCCCTGTAACCTGTTTTCAAGATAGTACTGAAAGATGAGGAAGAGATCTTTGATTTACAAAACTCTGGAGAAACTTTAAAATATGTTCCTTCCCGACTTCCATATTTTAGAATAATAATCATACTCTATTGGGAAACTCATACATAGAAATGCAACATTTATATTGCTGAACTCTCTCTTCCTTTTGCACTGCTTCAGTTTGTTGGGAACTATGGTTTTTGTTTACTAGAAGAAATTCAAAGCATGTTTTTCCCATGAGTAAGCACAAAGAATTGAAAAGAATATGTAGTCATTTTTTCCAGATTACTTATAAAAGCAACAGTGCATGTTATATGCCAGGTATTCAAGATTTCCCATATACACACTGTGGCAGATGTTGAATAGGACCACGTACTAGACTCTTTAAGGATTAGTTTACTCTGACAACCAGAATGTCCATATAAAGAAATAACAGTAAAGAAATCAGATCTGTTGTTCACACCTTTCTGTTACTTTACTTTTCCTCCAGTAATTTGTATTAAGATTTGTTATATACTGGTTCATGAAATACAGCCTAAAAACTGAGGGGACTCTCATTCATAGTTTTTCAAGTAGACTAGTTAAAGCCAAGTGACCTCTTTAATTCTAGACAGCAGTTACACTGCTGTACACTGGCATTGCTTAATAAAAATGAGAACTTTTCTACTCATGAGCAGATAACTTGTCTACCGCAAAATGCTGAGTAGTTACCTCACTGCATTAATGGTGTGTATTGTTTATTTAACCAAAATAAACACATACCTTCAAGTAGATAATAGCATCTGTTCCATAACCACATATTGAGTAGAGATTTAGATCTCCTTGAAAGTATTTAGCATACAGACGAGAAATTGGCAAGCCATACCCAAAGCCAGCCTAAAAATAAAGTACAAGACAATTTATTTTTAAACAGTGTGAAAGCCTTCAGAGATTTAACTATTACAAAGTCATTTTCACTTCCTCTTAAAAGAGGAAATAATTATATAATCAATTTCATACAGAATATTAAAACTGACCATTAAAAACCAAAACCACAAGAAAAAAAAACAATCAAACAAAAACCGTAAACAAAATCAATCAAAAAAGCCCCAAGAAATCTCCATGAAAGAGGGAGGGTTTATCTACATGTCCCACTTTTACACATTACATTCTGTATTATCCCTCCCCCATTTTTCCTAATACTAGTAGCAAACTCGTAGTAGA